TTGGAAGGTTGTCTGGAAGAACATCTGGTCTAATTAGCATATTATGCTATATATATAGTATACACAAGCTTACCTTATAGTGTGTGGATATATAGTTTGTATTTCCTTCACAGTCTCAGCTTCCTTTGGAAGGTTGTCTGGAAGAACATCTGGTCTAATTAGCATATTATGCTATATATATAGTATACACAAGCTTACCTTATAGTGTGTGGATATATAGTTTGTATGTGGCATGTATATAAATAGTATATATATAAAGAGAGAGAAAGAGTGTATTTTATATAGTATCTATTCACATATATGCATAATATATGTGTGCATATACCTCATCTGTATGTGTACTAGAACACAATGAAAGCAGAGATTTAGAAGGTACACTTGAAGATGGTACTGAGGACATTTATTACACACTATATAGATATTTTTTAATAAAATAGAGGCTTGTCTCCCTCTAAGAAAAGCAGCCCCTGAATGAAGAAGAAACAGAATTAGGAAGGGAAATAGAGGATTTTATTAAAACCAAGTAAGAACCGAATTCCAACATGAGGCTAGTTAGCAAAAGAAAGACCTTAAAAAACAAATCCAAGGCAATGGAAAAGCGAGGGCAGGGGGTGGGGAATCAATGGATTTGTACCAAGGAGACAGAACTGAACCTCACATCACCCAACTTAGCCCTGGAGGATGGCTAGTTAGCCAGAGATGGGTAAGATTCCTCAGGGAAGGAACAACCTAAGACAGGCATAGTCGCAGAGGGGCCAGCAGGAGAGAACTTGAGGTCAACAGAGGTGGGGCAAAGAACCTCACCCTCACAACTTTGCAGAGGCCTAACCCCTTACTCCTTCTCAGGGAGGTCTCCTGCCCCCATGGGTACTTAGCTTCCCATGCCCAGCCCAAATCGGGACCCAGGTAACAGACAGAGACTTGGCCGACAGCAGCTGTCCTCTCACTGCAATAAGACTTGTTTGAGTTGTCTTGTACTCATGATGTGGGGAAGTGGGTTTTTGATATCTAAATTCAGCCTAGCACCAGGAATCCTTAGGGCCTATTCAAGAAGGCAAATAATCCTTTCCACTAATATTTACAGGGTAAAATAAGATTGTTGTTAGAGTATTAAATTTGACAGTAAAATAGAAATCAAATTTTCATGCTAATTTAAATTGACTATTTGAAATAAGCAAATATTGTAGAAAAATTATTTATACTGTACAAAAAGCTGTTCCTAAAGTGTTAACTAAAATTTTTATTGGTAGTTCATCTCATGGTAAAATTGCATAACATGTAATGAACCTAAAGCAGTCATATTTTAGTGCAAAAAATTAAATTTAAAATCTATCAAGACTGCATTATAAAAATTCTAAAAGCCTCCTAATATTTAAATAAAAAAGGAGGGATAGTAGAAGAATATAATGTAAGGAAAATATCCTGTAAGTAAATTACATCTAGAAAATTTTTACTTTAGAAAATTAACTTTCATTTGTAATGCTAACAGCAAGACACCAATGTAAAACATACATGGGTTCAAAACAAGCCAAAGAAAAATCATTTGGGCAAAAAATGAAAAAGGATTGCAAGTCAAATTTATAGAAAAGATTCCTTTATTAACTTTTGGTTGAGAATATATTTGAATATTTTCAGAAGACAACTCCAAGACCATGTGGATCCCTGCAACAGAAAGGAATTGACAGGACTACTCCAGCCATGAAGACAGAAGAGAAACAGTCCAGAGATAGAAGACGCTGATGACGCCTTGCAATACTAGCAGTCAGCAGCTGTGCGTCATTGCAGGTTGCCCAGGAGCAAACCAGAGAAGGTCGGACCTACATTACCGCCATCTGTCCACCATCCAGAACTGAACTATCATTGCTGACATGTACACATAAGGAACTGTTTGACATTGAAATTGGAACTCAAAAGAACTGTTAGCCCAGAAAGAAACTCACTACAGACTGATTCATTTGCCTTTCAACATAATCATTATTGCTTGTCTCATTTTTGGTTCTTATAAGTATATTTCTAATAGTACATGATCTCACTCATCTATGGGAAATGATGAACAACATAGACTGATGAACAAGAACAGACCCAGAGACAGGGAAGCATAGATCAGACTGTCGGATCTCAGAGGGAGGGTAGGGGAGGGTAGGGATAACGGGGAGAGAGCAACTAAAGGGCTTTTGTGCATCCATATGAGCCTAACGAGTGGTCACGGACATCAGGGATGTGGGGGCAGGCGTGGGGAGGGGTTTGGGATGGGAATGGGGAGGATGAGGGCAAATATGTGATACCATAATCAATAAAGAAATTTTAAAAAATGGATTTGAGAGTTAGGAAGATGGCAGTGAACAGAGGTGAGAGTTTAGAAAGAGGTGGGATGACTCGTGGTGACGAAGTAGAGTCAGACACTTTCCAGTCTTTTCCTTTCCAACACTTTGGCCTTGAAAGATGATAAGAAAAACCTTATTCGATGGCAGCTTTCATGGGAGAAAAATTAAAAATGGCTTTCTTTGGTTCCCCGTAAGAGGAGAGAGCTCAAATGTGTTTGTGGACGAAGGCTACAGTCCTGGTATCCACATCATGAAACATCAATCATAGCAAACACGGCCAAGACCTCCAATTCACCTAGTAGTAGCTCAAAATCTCTCACAACAACTCTGGGAGGTAGGTTCTTTGATCGTCTACATTTTATAGGAAAGGAATCATGGTATGGCAAGATTAACTCTTCCAGAGTCCCTCAGCTTTTAAGTCTCAGAGTCAAGGTTGCCCCAGGCAATCTGACTTCAGCATAAGTGCTAGCTTGAGTACATAAGGGACACGGAAAATAGCACCCTGACCTCATGCTTTCCCAAGCCTCGCTTAGAAAGGCCTAGGCCTACTTTCCCTAGCTTTCCCTCGTCCCCAGCAGAGGCTTGGAACCCGGGGACGTCCACATCAAAATAGTGGGCCCGGGGGGCACCGTGTTAAGGGGCAGTGGCTGGGGAGGAATAGTGAAGAGTGGCCATTTGTTGGTGTTGCAGAGTTTGTAACTTTCTCAAGTTTGATAAGATGGAGATTATCAGAGGAGAGGGATAGTATACACTACTAGACCTAAGTTCGAGAACTGGCCCCAACTTCTAGTATTTCAGAATCTGGAGTAAGTCACATAACCTATGGAGGTACCAATTCTCTATCCAGAACGTTTGATGATAATAGTAATAATTTTTAAAAATGATAACTATCCTACCTCCCTTAGAGTATGTAAGGAGCAATGTGTGTGACAGTGAATGGAAATGTGAACTATTTCATCACCATCACTATCATAATTGTTATAATAATGATGGTGATGAAATATTAGGTCCTCAAGCTATCTGAAAAATTGCTCATCCTCTCCACACCCTCACTTCCACCTCTCAAGGTATTATAAACTATAAGACATTCGATTCTGAGAAAGTTTTCTAAGCACAAATAGTTTCTATGTGGACAATTTGCCCCAAGTGTAAAAATTCCCTGTAAATTTCCCTTATATGGCAAGGCAACATGACATTGTTAAAAATTCTCAGAGAGGCCTAACCGGTTTGGCTCAGTGGATAGAGCGTCGGCCTGTGGACGAAAGGGTCCCAGTTTCTATTCTGGTCAAGGGCATGTACCTTGGTTGCAGGCACATCCCCAATAGGAGGTAGCTGATCAATGTTTCTCTCCCATCGATGTTTCTGACTCTCTATCCCTCTTCCTTCCTCTCTGTAAAAAGTCAATAAAATTATTTTTAAAAAATTCTCAGAGTAAACTGTGACTAGTTGTCATGATCCAAGATTTGCAGGCAACTCTGGGGAGATTGGAGGTGCTCAAAACAACAAATAGTTGTATCAGATGTTCAACACCTGCCCCTTCATCCTTCTTTGCTTTGTTAATCATATTAACATTTGACCTCCAATCAGCAATTTTCCCTTACATCTCCCTACCTGTTTTTGTGGATTTCACTTTTATAAATCAATATAGACTTAAAATCCCCGCCTGGTCTTGCTAAGGACAGAGGAGGAGATAATCTTAGGGGAGAAGCCAAGAGAGCACACACGTTGGGGAGGAGCCTGGGAAAATGCCTCTGGGTTAGTTGCCAGGCATTCTAACTGCATTCTGCCAAAGATTTGGAGGAATCTCATTTGGCAGGCTATGGAGACCTGGTCTTCAGATGGATTTTTCACCTTTATACAACATAGTTTGGTTCATATATGTAGTGAGCCTAAAATTACCATAAATGCAGAGCTGCCATTCCTTATACTTTTCTGTCTCAATTGTCTTGACTTTTAACTTAGCCCTATGTAACTACACTCCAAAGATAAAACTAAAACAATCAGACAGCAGCTGGATGGAGAACATGATGGGCAGTAACAGGGACACTTAACTGTCACAAATAATCCTCAAGAACATCGGAGGCACAATTTCCTTTGAGAAATAGACATGCAGTTTGCATGTTTGTTTACTTAAGAAAAGTGAATATACAAAATTCCCCGATAGCCGAGACGATGCGTATGATCGTCATTTGTACTAGATCGCTTCATGAAAAAGGGGGGTTCACTCTGAACGCCTTTCTGTACCTACCAGCCCCTCAAATGTACACATTTGACTCCCCAGTTTTGTAAAGCAAGGCACCCCAATAATTCTATTCATCCCCCAATATCGCCCTCCCCCCAAATAAGCAAATGGTTGCTCAGTATTAATCTCTCTAAATTTTCACAAGGTAATTTTTTCAGTTGCCTATTAGGCAGAAATCACTTAAAACACACTTTCGGACAATAGTGTTTTTTCCTCTTTGAAATGTCTAAGCCAAAACTCAGGCTCTTTCTGCCTCTTCCTCTCCTGCAAACCCCACCCCTCCTGCAGCAGACCCCACCACCAGACTCCTCTCATCCCAAGATGAGGCAGAGGGATGCTGGGACAGACACCTGCCATCCCTGCTCCCTCGCCCTCTTTTAGTTTGTTTTTGGTTTTTTTTAACTCAGAATGCCAATAAAACAAGGAGCCAGTACTTATTTGGTTCATATTCTTTTTTTTTTAAGCATAAATAACATTTCTTTCCATATAAATATAAAATTCTTTGATAAAAATAGGAAAAAAGAATGATCATCTTAGTTACTGTCCAGCAGGAACATAGTGCATTGTGTATAGCATCAGACATCAGATTCTCCATTTTAAAAAATACATTTTTCTTTTTAGTCTCATTCTAGGACCCTTTCAAGCATAGGACATCCTTTTGTCCTACAAACAAATCCGTTTAGAAATGATTTAAATATGCCAGTGATACACGTTTACATTGATCCAGGAATCAAGGCTACTGGAGTGAGCTAGCACTCAAAACACCCAGTATACAATTATTGATATACAAAAAAAAAATTATATAAATTAATTCATCAGGTAATTTCCAGCGGGTAATAAATTACTTACTAACAAATAAAAAGAGCTCAGGCGTGTTTCTTCTGATTCAAGTGTGAAAGGCACAAACAGTCCTGGTTCCGAGGGTGGGCACCCCTCTGCCCACCGCAGCCGCCCCTAAGCACCCCCACACACGGGAGGGGTGCGGGGAAGGGGTGCGGGCTAGTTGGCGTGAGGGTGCCACAGCGTCCCCAGGAGCCTGTCCCAGTGCGTGAAGTAGGGGGCGAAGTTGTAGTTGAAGTGGGAGTGATGACGGTCGTGGTGCACCACTCCCCCGTACCACCCGAAGGGCACCAGCCTGTGCGTGGACCAGGGGAAGTCGTAGCCGGAGTGGTCCTCCACCGACAGCCAGATGTTGAGCGTGTGGAAGACCAGGACGGTGAGCGGGTGGCACCGGAGCAGCGCCACGTTCACCGTGTCGAAGAAGCCCAGGGAGAAGAGCTCCCAGGCGCTCAGGTACTGCGTGGCCAGCGCGAAGGAGGGCGCGTGCTGGTGGTGCACCTTGTGGAAGGTGCGGTACAGCCAGGGCACCCGGTGGTGCAGCACGTGCCACGCGAAGAACTCGGCGTCGAAGAGCAGCAGGCAGAGCGCGACGTGGCCCAGCAGCTGGGGCAGCGCGGGGGCCTCGGCGGGCAGCGGGGCCGGGCCGCGGGCCCAGTGCAGCAGCGTCAGCGGGAACACGAACACCAGGTGCTGGTAGAGCGTCCGCGCCAGGCAGCACAGCAGCTGCCGCGCCGAGGGCGTGCAGTCGGGCTGGATCTTGCAGCGCCGCAGCGCGGGCACCCGGGGGCACAGGAGGTCCAGCGCCACGAAGGGCAGGCAGAAGCTCACGTACGTGGTGATGGAGAAGATGACCGGGAAGAAGGGCGACTGGGTGAGCGCCTCCCGGCTCCGTAGGAGGTCCCAGGCGGGCTGCAGGAGCATCTGGCCGGAGCTGGGCTGCAGGAGCATCTGGCCGGAGCTGCACCCGCCGGCGGGGGCGGCGTGGAGCCGGGAGGAGTTGTGGCTGCTCATGGCGAGGCGCTGGCGGGCCGCCGCTGGGGCTGCCGCTGTCCCCCCGGCTTTATAGGGACCCGGCCCCGCCCGGCTGACGTCAGCGGCCGCCGAGCTCCCTCTCCTGCTCCTTGGCTTGCATCCGAGCGAGCTGCTAGAGGCGCGTGGAGTTGCCAAACTGCACAGCCGCGGCTGCGTTTCGAGTTTGGAGAACTCCATCCATGTGTCATCACCACCCCCAAGCAAGACAGGGGATCTTTCCATCACCGCCAGAAGAGCTCCTCTTGTCTTTATTTTATTTTATTTTATTTTATTTTATTTACTTTATTTTTTATTTTTTTATTTTTTTTATTAAGGTATTATATGTGTACGTATCTTACCATTACTCCCCCACTCCCATACATGCCCTCCCTCCCCAGAGTTTTGTGTCCATTGGTTATGCTTATATGCATGCATACAAGTCCTTCGGTTGATCTCTTATCTTCCCATCCTCCCCGCTAATTTGACAGTCTGTTTGTTGCTTTACTGTCTCTGTATCTATCTTTCTGTTCATCAGTTTATAATGTTCCTTATTATCCATAAACGAGTGAGGTCCTGTGGTGTCTCTCTTTCATTGACTGGCTTATTTCACTCAGCATGATGTCCGTAAATGCTCGTTCAATCGCCTGTGCGGACCCATAAAGACGCCAAGTGCAGTTGTACTTTTAAGAACTTTTTAAAGCGGCGTGCCTCCTGTGCTTCCCATCTTTGCTGTCTGTCTGCTCAGCCCGGAACGGTGTGACCCGGAGCGAGGGGCGCACTAACCCTTCTCTCCCGGAGGGAATGGCGCGTCCCCGGCCGCCTGCCGCGGCGATCAGCGCAGGAAATCAGATGCGACCGGGCGGCGGGACCGGAGCCTCTCCAGTTCCTCCGGGCTTCGGCGAGAATGTATTCCCGTCGGTTCGCCCGCCCGGAGCTCCGGATCCTGCCCTTCCCGGCTGCCCCCACTTCCTCCCCTACCCACCCCCGCCCCAACCCCGGTCCCCCTCCTGCACGCAGTCAGCTCAGGGAACTCGCAAACCCGGCCGCCGATCACCCCTCCGGACGCCACCGCGGCGCGCAGACTAGGGACCGGAACGGAGGTGAGACTCCCCGGCAACAGAGGGGTCCGCGACCTTTCATCGCTTTACACACATACGCACATATACATGCATGTATATATGCATGCATACATACATTATATACATGCACACATTCTGGCTTTAACTTCTAGCGCCGGTCTAGAACTAGCGAAAAGGACGCTGCGTCTCAGGAAGCAATTCAATCCGTAAAGCACCCACTTTGGCCCCGAAGGGAATGTGTGCGTGTTCCCGCAGCCTCCCCCCCGAAGCCGCCGGCTGCACAGATGTCGCCTGTCTTGCCCTTCCCTGGGCTGGCTTCGCGGCGCCAGTTGGCACCTTACCTTCATCCCTTTCCTCTAAACCCCCAAGGCTCAGCTCCGGACTGCACTTCTCTGCCATCAAATTGGGGTTGGCTGGCCCAGGACTGAGTGTGAGGAGGTGGGTACCACACACACACACACACACACACACACACACACACACACACACACGTCCAGACCACCAACAAAGCCTCCTTTGACGCGGGAAGCTGGAACACGGGAACGCCTAGAAGATGGGTTTGGATGAAAACTTGGAAGCCAGGGACGCACTTTGCCTCTGATGTCTGTGAGGTTATAGCCAGCACTTCGCTCCTCCAAGCTTTGCATTTTCAGATCTACCCCCTCCCCAAGTAGCAGCTATCTCACGAGTCTATTTCCAGCATTAAAGAGGAAAATAATAATAATAAGGCTACCATGTAACATCTGTGAGGCACTAATTACATGTTTTATTTGAGGGGATTTCACCCAATCCGTGGAAGTAGGCATTATCATTAGTGCTGTGGTCTTACAGAAGTAAACTCAGAGTGCCTGGTAAACGTAGTAAACGTGCAAAATAAGACGCACTACTTTTATTTTTTTTATCACCATTTATCCCTTCTATGCCCTCTTCCACCTTCACCCTCACCCTCCACAGACATTATTTTAAATTTTCATTTCACATTTTATCTAAATCATAATGAAGGACATTTGCAATGAAAATAAAATAAAATTGTGTAAAAAGATATAAAGCTATATATTGTGAGGAAAGAATAAGTACAATGAAAATATAGACCAATATCTGGGCCTAGAAATATGATATATAGCCTATGTACTAGTACATACCCTAATATATGTATCTATATATTAGACATGTTGTATATAATATGCCAGTTCATAATATATCATTATATATTAATATATAATAACATAAGATATACACTGAGCAGCCAGATTATTATGATCTCTGAATGCATAATAATCTGGCCACTCAGTGTATTTATGTATAAAGGAAAGCTGGCAAATCTTGATATGTCAAGGGACCAGGAGATAGTGGCCTTCAGCCTCTGGCTAGTAAGTCCTCTGCTTCTTTCTAACTACCCACAATGCAGATCTTAGACATGGAAAAACCTTATTTTAAAATCCTAACTCTGTGGTCAGTCTACACTGAGTGGCCAGATTATTATGCGTTCAGAGATGATAATATTCTGGGCACTCAGTGTCTATGGGATGTTACACACACACACACACACACACACACACACACACACACACACACATACTAGGCCAATTCCTCATTCAGAACCTCCCAACTAGTGTGTGACCTGAACTGCCACTGATGGACCCTGGATGTTCCTTAGCAGCCCATTCTCTGACGCCTCGGGGTCCTGTGTGCTGTGAAGTTATTATGATATTCTGCTTGTGTCTTGAGGAGATAAGGCTTCAGAAGCAGCTTTGAGCTTCCTGACAGCCAGCGCCAGAAAGGAAAGCAAGTGGGGTTTTCTGTTGTTTGGGCATCTGGATGGAAGCAGAGGCAGGCACAACGCACAGGCCCTTGGCCTCCCTGCTGGTGGGTTCCTTCCGTTTAGAAATCCTGTCCTCTCTAATCTCCTCAGTGTTCCCATGCTCCAGTGCTCTTCCCAATTCGCTTTCTGTGCCACCGGGAACTTGCTACTTCTCATTCCTGGGAAAGATCACCCTGCCCTTGAATTGTGTCCGGCTCAAGCGGCATCTCAGAGAGAAGGGGAAGGGCTTCTTTTCCTTGATCTTTATTTATGATTTTAAAATAATACAAAGAAAAAGCTTTATTTGAGAATCACACCACACTACCGAATGTAGCATATACCATTTACTCTGAGTTCCAAAGGGTCCATCAAAATTCACATTCTCAGACTTACAATTGCACTCTGCTCAGAAGTCAAATATCACTCAGATTTGCCCTCAATAGAAATTAAGTCAACCTTCAAATCTATGTCCGGTACATGCTGTTCATTTCCTGTGGTTTCTATTTTTCATGCTGGGATGCTTTGGGCGAATTCTCTCACAGATTTTTTTAAGCAGGTGGCATTGGCAGGTTTTTTTCATTTAGTCTTAGCTATCGGATTGTTCTCAGGACTGCCCCCTTTGGGCCCGTAGCTCCAACCATCCCCTTCTTCTTCTTTGGTTTTTCCATCCTCTATCACAGCTTGTTAGAATATTTCCCATAAAGCCCTGCGCAGCAAGACCCAGAAGCCCTGGCTTATCCCTGGTTGTTCCAGGCACCCTCCATATTGCTGGTGGCATATTGAAGAATAACCACCAGCTTCTCTGCCTTTGCGTTCCATGCAGCCATCAGGACAAAAGTTTGTGCCCAATACACAAGTGCAACCATCGCAGGGCAAGAGGTCCATTCAAATGTCATCAGTTGTCCATTCCAGGCCACAGAGGATGCTGCAAACATAGGTGTTGGACAACCAAAAACAGAGCATCACTTAATGGAGCCAAATAAAATGGAGCCCCGTATAGTCTTGACTGAAGTGGCATCGTTGCTTGAATTGGCAAACATGCTTCTTGAAACACTTTCACTTAACACAAAATTGATCTAACAGCTTTGCTAGATGATGGGTCTTTTTAGGGCACAGATTCTATCTGGGAGATTTCTGCCCCACAGGGCCAAGCATTACATAATAAGTGACGAGGAAGAGTTATTTGTGGACTCAATGTGCAGTTTAAAAGATATTGGCTCTAAATTGAGGCTAAAACATTTGAATTCTTTTTTTTTTTTTTTTAGCATTTGGTATGTAGTTTAGGTCTACTTATCCCCTGGAATGGTTTTTCCTAAAACGTGGCATTTATTTATTTCAAATTGTTTTAGGACTTTGGGCATTCTTTCTTGCACTTCTTCTTTTGATTTTGACTTCCTGTGTATTATTTTTATCTTGGCAAGGTCTTCCTGACAGGGCTAGAGTACAGGAATCCTTTCCTCTCTAGCTATCCCAGAGATCAAATCACTTCTCTGAGAGTACAACAACCCAGTCTATGAGTGTTTAATACAATCTAGATGCTATTTGGTACTAACTTACCAACAGACTTTGGGTACTGCCCCCTCCCATAAAAAACAAACATGCAGTTGGCAAAGTGCATTGCCTATGACATAAGCTCTTCTTGTGTGTAAACTTCATGTTTGTTTCTTTTAAAAAAAAAATTAGGCGAGACTATCTCTTGTGTGATCTTCATGTTTGTTTCCTTCCAAAATAAAGTGAAACTGTCTTAGCATCTATCTAACCAAAAAAATTATCCATCTAACTAAAACAATTATTCCTGGATAGGAAAAATGAAAACTGTTGTAATGTTTTGCAACTGTAACACATTGAGACTCATAAAGAGAGGGTAATCTAATCCCTGGTTGTAAAAGTGAAGACTTAGCCTCAGAAATGTCAAGACTAGCTAGAGTTAAATAGCAAGGTGCAGCCTATCTGAGAGCAAAACCTGGTCCGTGTCAGCTTCAAGACACGTGCCCCTATATCAAAAATGTGGTGTCAGGATAGAGCATTGATGTTGCATATAAAGTTTACAAAAAACTGGGCAAACGTTAATTATCCACACCAAAATGGGGAATGATGATGAAGAATATAACAAAGATGCTGGTGCATATTTGGTTTTAAACACTTTCTCTTTATATTTGTGATTCTTCTGGGTCACATATGTGTGGGTGCTTCTACTGATATTGGAATTCTCATCAACCTATTTAAAATAAGCAAATATATATATATATATATATATATATATATATATATATATATATATATTTAAAGCATATAAAATCATTCCCATGAAAAGAAATAACAGATGGAGAAATAACATTTCTTTTCATGGGAATGATTTATAG